AATCCTTACCATTAAATATTAGATGTAAGTAATATTTAGTCAGTATACTATAATCTATACATGTACAACCAGTAAGTTAACTACTAAATCATTAAATATTAGAGGATATAATTTAGTCTTTAATTTAACGTCGATAGTATGATAAAAGTTTTTTTTGTTTTAGGTTCACCCAGAATTAATGGTGATTCAGAAGATGAAGTAATGAATAGACTAGGTGAAGAAGTTACATTAAGTATTGATGTTATAGCCTATCCTAAACCTAGTTTTAAATGGATACAAGAATCAACAGGACAAGAATTAACACCAGATACAACTCAACAAGTAGCTACCAATAATTATATTTCAAGTTTAACATTCACAATACAACAATCATCATTTGATAACTACATTGTAACTGTTAATAATGGTATAGGTTGTGATAAAAGTTACACTATAAAGATTATTGATGGAGGTAAGTTCCTAAATAGTCAAATTCAAGATTGGATGGAATTAAATTTTACGTCTTGGTTTACTTATCCTGAATGGTTTACCATGCAATAGACAATAGTGGCAATTTAGTCCAGAATATCGGCCCTAGCTTTTTCGAAGAAGTTTTTAACATGTGTAGATGGCATCGCGATTTGGAATATATTGCAAAACGATCAGGTGAATGTTTTGGTTCACTTTATTGAATGTATTGTGCAAATGTATCCGTTGAATGTTTGAGTAAGTCGTCAGTTGTATGTATTCTGTCAATTTATCAGTTAACTGTTTTAGTTAAATATATTAGTTGAATGTATTGGGTATATTTATCAGTCGAATGTATTGAGTATATTTATCAGTTGAAAGTATTGAGTATATTTATCAGTTGAAAGTATTGAGTATATTTATCATTTGAACGTAGTGAGTAAATGAATCAGTTGAATGTAGTGAGTATAATCAGTTGTATGTATTGAGGAAATCGTTTGGTTGAATGTTTTGGTAACTTAATATACCGGTAATTCAAATTCATGTAATTTATTCCACAGATCCTGGAACAAAAACAATTTCTTGTGAACAATCTGTATATCAGGAAGGTTTAGGAGCTGGTATTGGTATTGGAATATCTGTTGTTATTGTATTTCTTGTTTTACTGACAATATTTATATATCGAAAATATCATCCAGGTATTGGTTAGAAATATTAATTTTGTTTTGAGGATTATTCTATCATAACATTAAAGAGATATAGCCAATTTCAGTTACCCTTGTCTCTTTTTAGAATTACAATTTGTCTACATTCTGCCAGAATGGTAGCATTTAAAAACCATTATATTCTCACATGTAATTATTACAGATACCAGGGCTTTATAAGTAACACTTCCACGAAAGTGACAAAACTTCAAATGAACAAGTCAGTTAAGTATCGTATTTCAATTCTGAAAAGTTTGTCAGTTGCTATAATAAACTCGTAAACTTCTTTAAATATAAAATTAATCTAATTTTTTATTATTATTTTGTAGCCAATAAGAAACTACCAGAAGAAAGGTGAATTATATTTTATTTCCTGATCTGGAACCTCTATTCCATTAGATCTACTTAAGGCGAATTCTGATGATGATGTTCTTGTCGAAATTCATTTCAATTTATAGCAACGATCATTAAGTCTATTCACACAAAGAATGTCAGCCGCAGACTGGTTGATTGGGTACAGAAATTCTTATATCAAAATGTCGTTTTGAGAAGTTGTGATCAAAACTGATAAAAACATATTTGCTCATTTTACTTATGACATATTCTTACTTTTCAGTTATGCAACGTTTTCCAATAGAAATCCTGAAGGTAAATTATCACACATTATCATGAATTTATCACAATTTACATATTCAGTATGACTATCAATACTTTACCCAAAACGGTCCATCATTCAAGTTTTGATAGCGTTCTTCAACTTCAACTTCAACTTCAACTGCCGAGAGTCGCCAAATGTCAATACCCAAAGATTTTAATTTTTATTCTAATTTATTAGTTATTATGCACGCTTTTTTTCCTTTCAGATAGAACATATGAAGATTTAAATACTCGTCCTGAAGTTAATGATAACAATCAACATAATTCTGAAGATGCAAAAGAATATGAAAATATTAGAAGAAATTAAATATAACATACTGTAACATCTGTTCAGAAATTAACAGTTCTTTGCACATTCCAAAATGCCGTCTGAAAGCAATGAAAAGAACGATTAAATACAGAGACGGTTCACTTTGGAATTCGTTACCCAATCTCTTAAATTGTCCTCTGAATTATGCTGTTTTAAAGGTTGACTAAAGAAGAAACTGGTACCTAGTTCAAATTAAATTTTTTGAAAAATTCATTTTATATTCTATTTTATTTTTTCATCATAAAATTCATACTTTGTATCACTTTGATCATTTTCTCGATATTGATAATATTTCTCCTTGTATATATATATATATATTAATTCTAGTTAGATAGTGGATGTGATAGAAAATGGATTTCTATATTCTGCTGTTATCTCTCAAGGTCCATTTGATAGCATTTTTCATCGTAAGATAAATATTATTTCTCATCTTAAAATTCATGCTATTTTGTAAAATTTCTATCTGTATATATGTTATTTGTATGTAATTATGATCAACCTAGGGTTAGAGAGTGTTAACGCTAATTTTGAAAAATCAATTGGGGTTAGCTCAGAACAGAACCGTGCTAGAGCTTGTTCCAAGATATGGTTTCCGCATATTAAATGAAAAACTCTTCGTTGCGCATCTTCTCAATACAAAATGGTCTAGAAAAAAGAATAACACAGGGGTTTACAGTAAAACACAAAGAGTCTACTTTGTTAGGTAGTGTAAGAAGTTATGAACACAATAAGTCTTCCTTTTGTAGTATCTATTTATTCTACCCCAAAATAAAGTAGACTGATTGTTAAAGATTTAAATTTTACCCCGACGTGCAAAAATATCTACATAATAATAAAGATTAGACCACATTCAACTTTATTTATTATATGGACTCACTCCACTAAAACATTTTATGCAAATGATTGTATGAATGTAGTCCAGGCTATTTTTAGAAATCTTCTTTCTCTCTCCCTTTTTGGGTTTTTGCATGCCTATTTTTGGGTAAAATTTGGTCTTGATTTGGAATTAGATGTCTGAAATTGCATTATCTTTCAGATTTGGTGAGATGATGAGAGACCTAAAGGCGGAAGGCTAATTCTAAAAATAGTCGTTTTGTGAAATGCTAAACTCTAGCGGATGAGAATAACCGGTAGTAGTCTACTTTCAATTTTAGTAGCTCAAAATTTTCATGGTCATCATATAATGAATTTTTTAGGAGACATTGAGAATTGGTCAGGCTTTCATTCGACATATTGGAAAGCTTTCAACGAGATTTCTGGAAAAAGTTATAGAAGGTTGAATTTCGTGTTTTAACATGAGAAGAGATGGCAAATGAATTACTGGAGTGAGTCCACATGAGTGAGGTCTGCCAATCAGAATAAACAGAATAAATCAGAAATGAGAATTGTGGTGTCACAACAAATTCCATAGTCCATCAATGCGTTATTGGTTTTATCAGGTTAAACGCACATTGTGAGCTTTCTATCTAATCGAAGGTCGAACCGAAGATAACAATCTACGTGCTGATGGTGGGCTCTGTTCAACCGCTTTATGGGCTCTCGGGCCTTTTGTGTTGTTAAAGCTGGGCTATAAGCACCTCAGAGGCACCAGAGAAGTACATGCGGCCCTATTTTAACGTAATATTTTAGTGATAATAAAACCTTGTGTCTTGAATGACCGACTGTACTCTGTTGTTGAGATCTTGGGTTATTCTGTAGTTAGGATACCAGGAGATAATATATAATATAATTTATCGGGATAGTGTGAGTCTAAAAAGTTTGTAACCGAGAATCCAGTTTATCAAGAGAATTCTCTCCGACGCGATTACTATCTAAACATAAAATACAGTAGTATTTATCTAGGTCATGTAAAACAATAATATATATTGTGATATCAAGGTATTGAGGTACAGGGAATCTATAAAGTTGATAATCGATTCCAGTGTTTCTCAAGAGAACTCTCTCTGACGTGATACCATCTAGGCATTGCTAAAATATTGTATTATGTATTTAGGTCATGTTAAACCTAATCCAATAATATGTAACATGATATAGGACTTTTCATGTTAAAAAGAGGAAGTAAATTAGAGCCTTGTAATAAAACGCTATACACTAGTAGACCAAATATATGACAAGAGAAGATATTATTCAATAACATGGAGTTTAAATATATATTGATATTAATAGTTATAGTTTATTTACCAGTACTAATTACAGGTAAGAGATGTATTTATGTTGTATTTTTTATGATATAATATACCTATAAGACAAGTCTTCATGTAAAAGACAAGTCTTTGTGTAATAGACAAGTCTTTGTGTAGACTAAAATGACATAACAATAATAGTAAATATGAAACTTCAACTTGTACTAAATGCATATATAATAATATAATGAGATAACATGAATCGCACTGTGATTTTAGACCTGACCTATCTTTATGATAGATATTTAACTTTTACCTTCACAATATTTTAACGATATATACTTTTTATAAAAGTTATTGCCTTCTTTCCTTGCGTTGTAGATCTTATATCCCAATATCAAAAAAATATATTCCGATTTTATACTGAAGGGTCGGATGATTTGTTCATACTAAAATATTCATAATAATTTCACGTTTCTATTGACAAGAATGTAATGTTGCATAGCTTACAGTATTGGGTTCAAAACTTAGATTGGCAGTTGTTTGGTAAAATGGTTGAATTCAGAATTTACTGATGGAATGATTTTATCTAACCTACTGTAAACAATCGAAGATATGATATATTTAACTAAAGATAATTTTGTGAGCTGAAATTAAAGTGAAAAGTAACAAAAACTAGAAGTGGGTTAATTATCATATTGTTTATTTTTCAGGTCAATATACTTTAAGAGGAGTTCCTGAAAGTTATGCAGTGTTAGGTGAAAATTATACATTACAATGTGATGTTACAGATTCGGCTCAAGGTGTAAATTTCGGTAGAAACAATATTGTTGTATGTAGTATGATAAACTGTGAGAGTAGTTCAATAGATAATAGATATAAATGTGGATGTATAAATAATAACAACAAACAACTATATCTCAATATAAGTAATATAAATAAACAAGATGATACAACATGGTCTTGTAGAGGTAATTCTGGTGGACAAGGATCAAGTACTGTACCAGTTTATTGTAAGTTTGATTGCATGGCAACTTTTTACCAAATAAATACACAATTCTTAAGTAAAATATACATGTAAAATTATTTTGCTTTACCTTCTGGTAGAAATACATTGCAACAACTTACTGGTGCAACTTCTAATTTGCCTGCATGTAAAATAAACTAGCAGCCACTGTAGGTAATTACGTCATGATAATCCAGGGGCTAGTGTAGGTAATTACGTTATAATAATCCAGGNGCTAGTATAGGTAATTACGTCCTTAATTGCTACTTTGCATGAG